TACCTTCTCTCTCACCAGAACAAAAATCCCATTTCAAAAGTGCACAGCAAAGCTGTTTCATAGAAACATTAGCACTTGTACAAGATTGAATCTGCACTACATTGAAAGATCTCTACGCAGAATCTGTTTGCTTATGTAAAGGAATTTATCTTCCAATGACTGTATCAGCTCCAGAGAGCTTCTCAAGTAGCTTCAGGGCCATGCCTGAGGCCCACTGCCTTTTTCTATTTGCCTAAAATGTACCCATGGCATCTCCGCCACACTTGGCATTTCTGCTGGTCCTGACAGGATATCAGAACAGTCTCCTAAGCAGAAGAAATTAACACAACATTGCAAAGCAACTATACTCCAATAAAAATATACTTAGTGAAAAAAAAATTCTAAGGACAAAAGTAGTGGCCCTGAAGTGCTCACACATGCACTTTAGAACAAAAACAGAAAATAATAGTAAAAAAAAAACATATTTTGGTTTTTTTTGGTTTTTTTGCCCGTATCTCACAGCTTGTGGGATCTTAGTTCCCCAACCAGGGATTGAACCTGGGCCCACAGCAGTGAAAGCACCAAATTTTAACCACTGGATCATGAGGGAAGTCCCAGTACTTGAGTTAGACTCTTATTTGAAATATGTATTAAAATGGATTAAACAGCTAAATATAGATAATACAAAAAGCAAGAAGAAAACACGGGTGAACACTGTTCTGCTTTTTACATGCACAATCATAGGAGTAATTGTTTAAAAAACAAAACCCCTGACAAATTTCATCTTTCAGACAATATGCAAGAAGGATGTTTTGAGATTTTCCTTTAAAAGTCATGAGAGCATCTTGTATCACTTAAAATGATTCCCTGATCTGAGGAACTTAGAAGGGGGCAGGTGGGTAGATATAAAGCAGTTACAGTGTACCTTTCATAAAAGGGGTGGGGCTGGCTACAATTATGGGTAAAATGAAACAGCAAGAATCAAACCAAACATCACTAATCAGTCCTAATTTCTTGCCAAAATTTAACTAAGCTAAACTTGAACAAGTCATCCTGTTACCTATTTTTAAAATCAAAGAGCAGCTTTCTTCTGTGTTTCTTTTCCTAGATTGGCCACTTTTTTCCTTTTTCTTTGGTAGCATCACATTAAGAACTATCTAGCTAATGCTCTTCTGAGAATATTCTTCAGTGATTTGTGACTACTGTTTCCAGGAAGTCTTCCCTTTGGTTTCTATAAGATGCAGAAGGATTGAGTGCACAGAATTTTCCCACAGTCATCATAAAACACCAACACCAGAAATGCTCACATTTCATTAACTGTGACAGCTCCTTCCTGCCCCACAGCCCAGTGAAACACACCAACAACTTAAAAAGAAACATGTCCCTCCCCTGCAGTTGCCTAGGTTGAGATCACAGATAGGGCTCTTGGCTTTGTGAAAATTGGTGTCATTCCAGAGACGGTGACATTGCTTCCATCAATGTAAAAGATGAAGCTGATTAATTTCAGGCATGCTGCAGTTTCTTTCCTGCCAAACACTAAGCATTCAATAGAGACTGACAACCCAGAGTACATGTTAAGAGTTAGTTGGAGTCAATAATTGCAGTTAATTGAAAAAAAAAGTCTATGCCAATTTCTCCAACATGTCCTCTTTTTACAAATGGCAATATATTTTCTTCTCTTGGTCACCACAGACTGAGAAGGATCCCTCGAGTATTAACCACCCCACCCCACTCCGCTTCATTCTTCTAATCCTCTAAGGATCTTTCTATTGATACACCAATCTCTCCATTAATATGCCAAGGCCCTTTGAGGTCACTAAGTCACTGTTCAGGGCTTCCCTTCCTCATTGCCCTGGCAATTATGTGCTGCTTCTCTCCACCCAACTGAAACCACTTTCTCACTTTCTTAAGTCTAAATGGCACTTAAGACCTTCTGCTGGCTAATGTTCCTCCAATTAAAAAGGAAAAACAAAATCCCCCTGCAAACCACCCTCTCCACCAGCTGCCTGGTCTTTCTGTCCTCCCCATCACAGCTTAACCTTTAAAAAGAATTGTGGCTGCCATTCCCTCACCTCCTGCTTTCCTCTCTTTCATCTCTTCCACACTGATGAAACAGCTTTCACTAAAGGGCCCAAGGCTAAGTCCCCACCAGGCCTGCGTTCTGCACCCCACCCCCACCACCTGCAACATGGGAGTAGAAAGGATCCACTTTCTAAAGACAGCTGTAAATAAAGGAATAGCACATAGCATAGCATAGCATCTTGGGATCCCTAGATGGAGAACTGACTACTCCCCTCAACCAGCTCCCCCACCCCCACCCTGCCCGACCCCATCCCCAAGCTGGGAGGAGGCCAGAGGAAGTGCAGGGAAACAGCAAATGAGCCAAGACGCCGGTGGTCAGGCTGTCTCGCCCCACGACCTCTCAGTCCATGTTTTGTAAATACAAGGCCATGTGACGACTGAGATCACTTAGAGCACCGCGCACGTTCCTCACGATGTACCTGCTCGGCCACGGGCCCCTTTTGCTCTGTAAACGTGTATAAGCTCCACCTGAGAAGGCCCTTTTGCTGCCGTACCCACCATTAGAGAACAAACATGTTTGTAGTTCCTACGACTCCTTGAGTTTTCTTCCGGCTTCCCGGCTGGAGCCTAGCCACCCTGGGTTCAGCAAACAGTGAGAAACAGCAAGACAGGAAGAGATTGAGAGTCCTTAGGCTCTTGGCTTAGAGGGGAGGGCTGACATGTGCTGGGAGGTGGCTGAGGCGATGAAGAGACTTCATCCAGAGGCTGGGCATGCCTGCCAGAAGGAGAGACTGACTTACTCCCCAAATGGATAACCACCGGCGTGTTGGTTTGTTCTGCCCCGACCAGAGTAAAGGAAAGAAAAACTTCGGGAAGACGGCAGGGTGGAAAGAAGCCCCAGTTCTGCTTGGTTCACAGAATGGATAAAGGTGACTCATTGAGCATCTTACTATAGTACTCACACAAAAGGGCCTTCTGCCAAGGTCAGGGGATCCCAACACCAATTACATTAGAGTCACTTAACCACTCCCTCGGCCTTCTCCCCTACCACAGGAGGCATGGTTGGCACCTAGAAAAAGGACAGAGAGAAGGGGTCCCAGAAGCGGACCACCCCTCCTCCTCACTTCAGGTTGCTCAAACCACAAGGCTGGCAAGCAGTGAGCTGAGGAAAAGCTTTAAATCAAATGTCTCTCTTCCTCACCATGGTATTCCCAGAAATAACCAAGTGGCACATGGTAGGCTTAATAATTATTTGTTAAATAAACAGATTCTTCTTATTCCTCACCCCTGCATGTCCTTTATGCCTCATTTCATGCATTTACTCCTTCAGTCACCCCTACACAAATTTCTGTTGAAGGCTTGGTTCTCTATATAACTGAATTATGAAAACGGGATTAAGATGTGTTCCCAGCCCTCAAGAAAGTTACCAAGTACAAACTTGCAGGCACCACAGCACTCATGTGAATAGTAGTATGGGAATAACACAAAGTACCAAAGACACTGACTCAAAAAATCCAAACTACTCCCTGAAGTTCATTCAGACAGCTCTTCTGACAGGTTTAGATACAGAATTCTCATGCCTGCCTTTCCTGTGACTACTGACCCTTTATCCCTTCTGCTAAAATACATTTACCCTTGATGTATCATGGGTAAGAGTTTACACACAACCTTCCGTGTGTGAGATCCTGGAGAAAGCCAGGATAATCTGTATTCCTCAGGCCAAGGGAATTTCACCGCACAGCCTTGGATAATGACCTAGAGAAAGGACAAGGTAGGCACGGCCTCTCTTGGGACACCACCATATGCAATCTAGCACAGAGGAAATGCTGCAGTTTTAGGATCCAGGTGATGCCAAAGATGTTATTTCCCCTCAGACAGCATCTTACCCACAAGGAGATGGCTGTGCCTCGCGGAGAATTGAACCACTGTGACATCCACCCAGAAACAATCACATGTGATTTACAAGACTTTATTAGTGGACTCTTAGAATTAATTAGCATTTAGAGTCACATAGTTACAGAAAGCAAAGCACTCTACATGATTTCTGATTTCCTTGTAATCTTCAACTTATAGTCCTTCTGCAACCATTATTGCTTTCCACATCTATTTTTGATAGGTACTTTTAATCATCATTTCCCAGCATTGTTAGAATAATAAATAAATGCTCAGTATAATGAAAATCTAGCAAGTACAACAAAGTTTATAGCAGGAAAAATATGATGCATATTCTTAGCAACTCTGTTAATATTCTAGTATGTTTCCACTTAACCTCTGTTTAATAACTATTTGGAATTAATACACCCTGTAAGCCAACTCGGTTAACAAGTCACCAATATACTAGGATATAAACTGCTATCTGTAATTTCCTTGAATTATGAACAAAGTTGGTGTCTGAACGACTGTAGAAGAACCAGTTGCTGTTTAGTCACATCCTACTCTTTGGCAACCCCATGGACTGTGGCCCGCCAGGCTCCTCTGTCCATGGAATTCTCCAAGCACAAATACTAAAGTGGGTTGCCATTTTCCTCCTCCAGGAGATCTTCCTGACCCAGGGATAGAATCCATATCTCCTGCATTGGTGGGTGAATTCTTTACCACTGAGCCACCTGGGAAGCCCAAAACAACCAGTATATTCTGTTTAAAAAGCTTAAATTCAGTGCAGGGAAGACTGGTCAAGATGGTTGTTTAGTGTATGAATGCAGGATGGCTCGCTTCACTTTTCTATTTGTCTTTGTAGCAGCCCTATAGTTAGGTAACTACCATTTCAGATATAAACCCCTTTAAAAATAAATTCCTTTGATTGTTTAAAGAGGCTGGCTGTTCTTGTGTGACTCTGGGAGGCACACACAGAAAAAAACACAGTGCTGGCAGTGTTTTCATAACAACTATACAGTTGCCATTATTCATCAAGATATTTAACAAGGATTTTATTTTCATCTCAGTATTCCATAATAGACAGGCTATGCCAATGATATATAAAACAAAAATAATTCGCTTACCTAACCAAGAAATCATGTAGTCCAACATCAAAATGCCTGTGGAAGGAAGACAGAGAGAAGCATATCAATAGGAGATAGTCACAGCTGTGGTGGAGTTAACCAAACAGCCATCATTTACATCTGCAGCATGCGGAACACACGGGTTACTCCATGATACTGATTCCCAGACTATGTCCTCTGGGGCAGCCATGGCCACAGGCCCTGGGAACTTGCTGGAAATGCAAATTCTCAACCCACCCACACACACCAACTATGAAGTTCTGGGGATGAGGCCCAGCAATCAGATTTAATGAGCCTGATAGGTGATTCTAATGCAGAGTCGCTCACTGCTCTACCATAGCAAAACTATCTCAGCAAGGCTAACCTCCTCCTCTTCAAGTCCAAGAGATTTCACCACTTTTCAAAAAAAAAAAAAGGGGAGTCCTTTCATAATACTAGCTGTCTCAGATGCTCATTTACTCAAAAATTAATGAAGTTACGGTTTAAAAACAGCAAACCACCCTGGCCAAAGGGAAGGACAGGGGTGGGGAATGGTCAACTCTAGGCCTCCACCTCCACCCAGCCCGAGTCCCTGGAGCTGCTTCATAGGACAGCACCACCCGGCCCAATCCGGGTATGCTCCAGCAGGGAAGGGAGAACGTGTGTCCATCCCGGCCACTGTGCTTGGGTCTCACACCGGCATCCAGCAGGCCCGGGGACCGCTTCAGTCACAGCCTTCCCCGACACCACCAGACTTAGTCCATCACTGCCTTGGTTTCCCTAATGAGCGCGCTTGCTCCCCCTAAACCTCCAACCACTTAGCTGGTGTCCTTTTACCTCTGGGTCCAGCTATGAGTAAAAAGACCGGTGGCCTGAGTCACAGGCTTCTGCCCACCAGGAAGTAAGCGCTTCTCCTAACACCTGATGGTGGTGGTGATGTCCCATCCACTAGACTGGGTAAAGCCTGAGTCGGTCTGTCCCTACAGAAAGAGCAGCGGACACAAAAACTCACCCTAGAGAGGGGTCCAACTTTGCAGGCCCTGACTGTCCCTAGCATCCGGGCCTACCCTAGCCCTGACCCTGGAACATCTCAGCTCACCCCCCTGACATATAACAGGTGACTGTTGATACTAAATACAACTTCTTGTGGGATACCTTTAAATGACAACATGTTTTTCAGCATGTTTATAGATTAAAGACACGGGGTAGGTGGGAAGAGAGAAACAAAGCCAAAATAAGAGGTACTTCAGTTACTATGTGACTCACCTGAAATATTTCTATAATTCAGAGAAAATCAAAGTCAAGATACCTAAATTCCATTTACTCATTAAGACTCTGAACAGAGCTCTAGAGGGAGATATACCTGCAGGGAGAGCTGATTTGTTTCAGCTGATTTTATACTGACCTGGATGAGATCAATTCCTATAATCATATTTAACATGGATTTAACAACAACAACAAAAAAATGCTCCCGCCTCTCAAACAAAACCAAGGCTACGTTGCTCAGCCATGTAAGCAAAATCTTGACATGATGGACAGTGATTGTAAATTTGCCAGAACTGCAGTATGGGAGGTAGTAGTGTACGTGGATTAAAACAAAGATTTCGTCTTTTCAATTATACCAGCTACAGAAAGCAACAGACTGCTGCAGGAAAGAGAGGATGAAATAGACATGGAAGGAATCCCAGAGACCTCCAGAACAGAGGTGGGGGAAGAGGAAGAAGCCCCCGAAGGAATAATGAAAAACCTAATAATAGTCATAGGAATTATCATTTAATCTAGAATGTGGCAACAACTGTGTTCACTACTCACAGACACACGTGGTTGTCAGGGAGGTAGGTACTAGCGTCTCTATTTCTGGGAAAGGAACTACAGCTCAGAGGCTAAGTAGCTAGTGCAAAGCTCACAGCTAGGAGAGGATGAAGCTGGAAGTCAAACTGAGCCCTAAAAGCCTTGCGTCACTTGCTCCTCCCACTAAAATCACGGGCTCTCATGATTACTAATTGAAAATGGCCGATGATTTGAAGTAACTGCTCCCGTTCCACCTCCACCTGACTTCAGTTTCTCCCAACGTGGCTGCCCTACCCCGAGTAAGCCCACCTGCCTTGCTCCCTTTAGCTCTGCAGACGCCATCTACCTGCTTGGGTCTTAGAGTCAGCCAGGCTCTGGAAAGTTATGTTAATGCTCCAGCCTCCAGCTTCCCCAGTGGGGAAAATGGAGGTCCTTTACTCATAGGGATGGAGAAGGGAATGGAAACCCACTCCAATGTTCTTGCCTGGAGAATCCTATGGACAGAGGAGTCTGGCAGGCTACAGTCCATGGGGTCACAAAGAGTCAGACACGACTGAGCAACTAACACTTACTCATAGGGAGGTAATGAGAATTAAGTGATAGAACAGATAAAGGACTGAGCACAGTGCCTGATGCATCAAGAGTACTCAATAAAGAGTATTCTCCTTCCCTCCAACTTTTAAGAGTTGTTTTAATGGAAGCCCCATTCCCAATAACTCGGCAGGAGAAGTCAAATTAAAAAGGGACATAAGAGGAAATGGCAACCCCCTCTAGTACTCTTGCCTGGAGAATCACATGGACAGAGGAGCCCAGCAGGCTACAGTCCATGGAGCTGCAAAGAGAGGGACATGACTGAAGTGACTTAGCATGCAGGCATAAGAAGCACTCTGTGCATTCCCTCTTTTAATCTTTACAACCACGCTGCAAAAGAGGTGCCTGTTTTATAAAACTGCCTGTCCTTATCCCCAGCCACCTAGCTGGCAAACTGCTGAGTCGAGACCTAGCTTAAAGCACCAGATGCCAAAGTGCGTGTTTTTCCCTTCGTGTATCCAGCCACTGACTCATTTAACAAATATTTACCTTCTGCCTACAGCGTGCCAGGTGGTGGAAATTTAGTAATGCATGGCACGTGACCTCGCTTCAAGGAGAGCGGAGCCTCGTGAAGAGGTGGCAAAGTCAACAATGATTCAATACGCTGTGATCGACATCAAACACTGCCTCCCTGGGTGGATGGCAAACTCCGTAAGGGCAAGAGCCCGAGGCAGCCTCGAAGCAGATTCTCAACAAATAGCTGTCGGTGAATCGGAGACAGGCTGGCACCTGGGACCCTTTACTACGGTGCTTGCACCTGGACAAACGTCTCCTCAAGCACAGAATACAAAGACGCTATAACGGATTAAAAAGAAACGCGTGCATGGCCAGTTGGGACAGATTATGAAAAAGATACAAAAAGGCCAAAACCCAACTGCCCCTTCTGAGGTGCCTGGAGCAAAAGGAGGGTCCTGTGCATGACCCCCAGCACAGAGCATCACGGGGGGCTGGCAGACCACCCAAGCCACTCCTCCAGCCCGAACCACGGATCCACCCCAACCCTCACTCCATTGAAGGGACCAGCTGGCCCCTCCTGGGAGCAAGCAAGCGAACCTGTTACTTGTTTTCCTTCCATCATGTTGCAGCAGGAGTCGCAACAACACCCTGCCTGAATTTCTCATCTGGCCTCTTTTTAATTTCTATTCATTAAAGTCTAAGAATCCAGGTGGGTAATAAAGCAGCCTGTGACTGACGTGCTGTAATAAGGCACCAAAGCCTCTGTCTGCCCTGGCCCTTAGCACAGGACACTGCAGGTAGCAGATGCTCAAAAGTAATTACTTAACACACCAAGTATAACCTGTAAATACATAAAATAAATACCCACGGATAGAAGTGGGGCATCTCTCCTGAAATAAGATACCTACAAAACTATAGCACAGTTATTCTGATCTCCTTTGGAGAAAGTAATCTCTCACAGCTACCAGCTCACAATAAACCTAGGTTTCTTTATGGGGGGACATAAGATGCAGTGATCCTGTGCATATTATTCTTGGTTCTTTCTGGAAAGTAAAAACAAGAAATCTTCGGGGGGGGGGTGTGATGTGGACATTCTTGTTGTCTAAACATCAATCGATAGCAGGAGCAGCTTGAGAGAGGAAAGGAACTGTGGAGCAAGCTACAATATCATAGTGAGGCCGGGAGTGCCTCATTACAAGGTGAGGTCAAGCAAGGATTCAAAGGGTATGCAGAGGAGACTGAACTATCAGATAGAACACCGGAATGAATGAACTTAAAGCTGCCACCTAGCCTCAGGCTTCTGACTCCTTGTTTCAGTCACTTTCAGGAAGCATCTCTAAGTCTTCAGTCACATCCACAGCCACAGCTCCCGTCTGATAACCATCAGAGAATTAGACTAAGCCTGCACTAACACCTCCAGGAGGCAGTGATCAAGGCCATCCCCAAGAAAAAGAAATGCAAAAAGGCAAAACTGTTGCCTGAGGAGGCCTTACAAATAGCTGTGAAAAGAAGAGAAGCGAAAGGCAAAGGAGAAAAGGAACGATGTACCCATTTGAAAGCAGACTTTCAAAGAACAGCAAGGAGAGATAAGAAAGCCTTCCTCAGTGATCAATGCAAAGAAATAGAGGAAAACAGCAGAATGGGATAGACTAGTGATGTCCTCAAGAACATTAGAGATTCCAAGGGAATATTTCATGCAAGATAGGCAAAATATAGGACAGAAATGGTATAGACCCAACAGAAGCAGAAGATATTAAGAATAGGTGGCAAGAACACACAGAAGAACTATACAAAAAAAAAAAAAATCTTCATGACCCAGATAAGCATGACGGTGTGATCATTCACCTAGAGCCAGACATCCTGGAATTCGAAGTCAAGTGGGCCTTATGATGCCTCACTATGAACAAAGCTAGTGGAGGTGATGGGATTTAGGTTGAGCTATTTCAAATCCTAAAAGATGATGCTGTGAAAGTGCTGCACTCGGAGGAGGAGCCAGAGGAATAGGACGGGGAGACCACTTTCTCCCCTACAAATTCATCAAAACAACATTTGAACGCTGAGCAAATTTCACAAAACAACTTCTGATTGCTAGCAGAGGACATCAGGCGCCCAGAAAAGCAGCCCATTGTCTTCGAAGGGAGATAGGACAAAATATAAAAGATAAAAAGGGAGTCAAAAGAGCTACGGACGGAGACCCGTCCCGGGAAGGGAGTCTTAAT